ACACATTGTATTACATTCACATAATGTACATGTACATCCTCCATTTAGATATTAGCAGTATTGTGCAATAGAACGTTTGTTGAAGTGAAGAGATACGGTCGTCCTGTGGGCAAACCAAAGGAGTCTAAAATGAGTTTAATTACAGCAGTATGTGGGCGTGGTTAGTTATTAATGGTTATTATTAATTATTATTTTAATTACAGGTCCAATGTGGCTTTGGTGCCTACCTTTTACTAAAGCAAGAATACCTGATCCTATCCCTCCCTCTGATATTGCTCTTAATCAATTCATTGTTTAATTTATGGGTTAATAATTTTTAGTATATTGATTCTTTAACGATGTAAATGATATTATTTTTACAGAATTGATTTGAATCATTATCAAAATTTTATGCAATTTCATGAAAGTCAAAATTTAAAAATGCCCAGTAGTCATTATTTTATCAAGGTTAAATAACTCATTTTAATAAATAATTGCACTGCTGGGCTGCAAAGAAAAGCAATTGCTAGCTCAGTCTACCTTAATAAGAAGAGCTAGAGAGTCAAGCTCAAAACCTACACAGTTGGCATAGGCTTTTAAAAATCGAGATGCTGCATTTAATTTTCCTTCTTTTGCTGCAGCAGTACATTTATTGTGCTAGTAAGTAGATTGTATCTATTTTTCATTTATTTTATTGCTATCATAGATATAACAGTACAGCCAGTGTCTATTAATGCAACACTCAACTCTACTGCTGTCTTCTCTTGTGAAGTTACTGCTGATGATCTTGCTTTCAGAGTTAATGTATCAGCTATTGACACAGATGTTTTGGATAAAGGATTCAGTGTAATATCAAGCAGTAATGGTGGTACTAGAAGTGCAGAGCTACAAGCAATAGCTTATGAACATAATAATAATACTGAAGTGAGGTGTAGAGCTGATACTGATGATCCTCCTGAAATAGTGTTCAGTAATACAGCAATATTAATGATACAAGGTTAGCACTTGTAACTGTGACATTATTCATCATTTCTCCTCCAGGACTATTGGATAGTGTTGTTGATCTGGATTATACCTTTATTAATGGATCCAGTGTATTATTAACATGGACAGCTCCTTATACACTGGATAATGTACCTATCACTGGATACTATATAGTCAATGGATCAGTGAACATTACTACTACTAACAAGAGTATTATATTATCACTACTACTATCATTTTACAAGCATTCCCTACTACTACACCTGTTGCAACAACACTTAATGTCAGTATTGGTTAGTATGACGTATAAATGATACACATTATGTACTATTGTGTTATACTATAGCTATCGCAGCAACATCACTGACTGTTGTTATTATATTATTAATAGTAAGTCTCATAATAGCGGTTTGTTTTGTTATTATATACAAAAGGAAGTTAAACAGTAAGTATTCACATACAAACGTGAGTGTATCATCATTATTGCTAATTACAGGGTTTGCCTCATTACAACAACAACAACAACAAGAGGTACCTACTGCACCTAATGAAGCATATCAGTTTAACACTTTAATGATTACTAATCCTAATCCTACTTATGAAGAAATAAGAGGAAACAGAGCAGGAGCAGATAACATGTGAATCATTTGTTTCACATTGAAGCAATTTTTTTAACTTTTTCAATTTATTTGTTTTTCACATGAATCAAGTTTTACAACACATTTTTATTTTTAGTGACTAAAATTAATTAATGAAGGCCTGCATAATAATAACTCATGCTTTAAAAATTTTAAGCTAATTTAAAAACTGTTGCTAGATAAACTTAGCCAGCCCATGGTTACTTTCATAAATTAGCATATTTCTTGAACTAAAAAAGTAATCAGCATTGGCACAAACTTTTTAAACACAATAAATAAAACATTTATAGAATGTAATGAGTGAACAGAAGTGTTAGTTGTAGGCTAGAGTATTGTATTTCATTTTCAATGCTCTCTAATTCATTATTTGGATTACACTAAAATTATATACAGAAGTGAAAAGAAATCATAACATATAATGATGCAAAGGAAGTGCAGTGGGGGCAGTCATACAGCCACACCCTGCAATGAATAGTCTATTATATCCTGTAGAGATGCTCTTTACACTTCTGTTTGGATTCCTTATAAAATGCAGTCTTGCAGAGTTTATAACTCAGCCAGTATCATTGAATACAAGTCTCAATTCAACTGTGACCTTTACTTGTGAAGCAACTGGAGTTTCTTTTGTATTCTTTTATATTGGTGAAACACCAGCATCTGATACTGTCAATGTTAACCAGAGGA